AACAGCCCTGACACAATGTGTACTCTATTATAATGCTGAAGTATGGATTTACATTTGTAACTTTGTCATCAGAGTTTGAAAGCGACTTCCAACTTGGCTCAGAACTCGGGGCCATTGGTTTCCCAGCCCATACTCAGGACATCACTGCAGTCCCATTCCGCAGATAGGATATTTATCTATTTTCTATTTTCAGATTTGAAAAAGACAGGTAGAGCTGGATCCTCATTTGGCAATACAAAAAAAGAAAACCGCATTCATATACACTTTTTTAAGTTTCAGATAAACCTACTGTGACACAGAGATCTCAAAATATAGAAGGGCCCTAAAAGTTAACTTAGGCCACCTGAATTCACTGATGTACAAAAAAAAAGATGTAAATCGAACAGCTGTGCACAGAATATTTCACTTCAATATTGTCCTGAAAAATGAGACTGTCGGACCCTGGCCATACAAGGACTGTTTGACTGTTGTACTTATATTCTCTACAGAGAATTAATAAATATTGAGATCAAATACTCGTGCATGCATGCATGGTTGACAGAGAGAAGGAACCAGTTCCATGAGGCTCCAATAACCATAAACTCTGTGAGGGCATAAAGAATGGAGAAGTGCCTTTCAAACTTAGTCAGTGGCATGTACTAGCAAGAGCAGATTTGCAAATAACAGTGTGTAAACTAATCATAAAATTAACCTCTGAAAACTGCCTGTAGCAGAGCAAGTGGTTCATCAAAAAACATCCCCATTGTTCTTCTTTATTCTCTTTTGCATCAGTGGTTCTGCTGTGATTTTTACTGTATTTTTGAGTCATTGCCAATGCTGCTATCTGGAGAAAAAACAACTGAAGCAATTTCAGCTATTGCTGTCTTTATATGGCCACAATATGCTAATACTGCAAGGCTGTTAATCCTACAAGCTGACTTTTTCTCATTTCATGCTTCTGCTATCCCAGATAAAATAACTCCTGCAGAAGATGTTGTGCATAGCTCTATAATTTCCAGTCAGGTTGGCAGCAAGTGCTATAGAAAGCTGTGTTCTTAGCTGCTGCTTCTCCTGTACATCTTTTCCAGTTATCACTTGGCTCTGCTGTCAGTGGTGAAGTGGGTTTACAATCATGAACAGTTATAGACCTCCTGCAGCAACACAGAAGTGAGAGAAAGAGAGCTACTGACAGGGATGAATGAAAGTACCCATGGAAGATGGGCTCCTTCTTCAGCATCCTCTTCAGCATGGGAATAATCTCCTTGGCTTGTGCTTTTGACTGGGCTAAGCTGAATGAACACCCATTCTTTGATGATGCAAAGGGTCCTCTGCTCTGTTAGCCACAGAAAGGGAATAAAACACAGATTCCCTGACTTTTTTGAAACACACATTTTGGTGAACAGACAAAATGCACTGCAAGCAGTCCTCTGTGATTCAGACCTGCAAACAAAATCAGGAAGACTGTATAGTACTTTGCCTGTTTGGATCTCAGGAGACTTCTACAGAATTTAGCTTTCCTTTTCATTTTTCACGTGAAAATGTTATTGCAATGAGTCTAATACGTTACTAAGGCCTTAGTCCTTCACACATCCATGTCAAACTTCATACAGACAAGTTGTCTCATTCATTTAGCACGTCTGAAAACGCAAAGCTACTCGTGTCTGACACTGCCTGTCACGGTGCTCTACCCTGTGCTGCTTGCATTCACCAAATGCCTGTTCTGAAGGCGAGTGCAAGTAGCCCAGCAGTCAAACACTACCTACACGACCTGGCAGTCTGCTTCCAGAGCTGCAATTTCACCTAACACATGACCTGTGGATAATGCTGGAAGGGCAATTTGCCTCACAAGCTAAAAAGGTGTGTTCTTCTTCTTTACCCCCTTGCAGGAGAACAGTTAAGTTTGCCTTCAGCAAGGCTGTTCACAAAGTTGCATGTAGATTGAAGTCCTGCCGTGCATGGAGAAGAAAATATGAAATGCTGATGCTGCTCTAAGTTGTTTCACTTCTCTGTCTGAGAGAAGAATTCAGATGTTGAGTTTAGGGTTTTATTACCGTTAAAAGCTTCAGCATGAGGAGGAAGTTAAGTTTGGAAATAAGTGGCGTTCATTCTATTCAGAGTTGAACTGGTGAACATAAAAGGAGGCTCAGAATTTTGTACATGTTTTAAGTCTTAAAATGTCTTGCTACTAGCCAGAAACTCTTATTATGCAAAGAAATACTTTTCCTGCCTCATGTAATCTGATGTAGTTTATTAACAGTCTAAGTTTAACAAAGCTATTTTTATTTTCGGGAAGTCATGGTTTATATGATTTAAACATGAATGCATGGAAGACAGCCCTGGGGAAACTAAGCCCATATCTGGAAATGAAGCAGAGGATCCTTTGTGCCACTTGTTAATTTAACAAAGTCTGTTTGCAGAAGCCAGAACTAGTAGTGTTCATGATCCCAGCTTACTGAACATTGTACTTTTCTCGGCAGTAAACATCCTCCTCTGTTTTATTAGTGATTTTAGCCTTATTTTCATAACTTACCACTTTTTATAGCTCTTCTTTCTTGTAATTGAAATTCAGTATTGCTATTATGAAAAAAAAAAAAAAAAAAAAGCAACTGTGGATAATGAGATGCCTTCCAAAGCTAGAGTCAGTTAGATCAAGGTCATGAGATTTAGTCTTCCTGAAGTACACTCTCAGCTCTGCCACCAACTTTATCTAAGACTTTCAATAAACCACTTAACCTCCCTGCCTCTCTTTCTTCACTTGTAGAATGAGAAAGGCAATACCTTCCAAGCCCCGGGGATTTAATCTATTAAAATTCTCAGGCTCTTTTTTTTTTTTTTGGTGTATCTTGAAAATGAACATAATTTTTGGAATATATACTATTTGGCTCCCAATTTGAATATTTTCTGGAGTTGAGAAACATATGGAGGGTTTGGGGAAAGTGGAGAATGGTGCCAAGAAGAGGTACTTTATTAGCATTTATTACCACCAGCTTCTATATATGGAGGCTGTTGTTGCTTCCTTTAATAGGCTTATTTCATTACACTGCCCACATACTTACTTTGCATCAAGGATGCCTTCCTGGCAACACTGATTACAAATCAGTTAATTTCTGACAACTATTCTGACTATGGGTTTTAGAAAGCCATTAAATATATGCTCAGATAATTTTAAATAGAAGTGTAGGCTGCAAGGGCTGCAGGAGAGGGTAGAACTAATGTTCATTTATTTTCCCTCAAAAATGAGGATTTAACTTTTCCTACTAATGCCTTATTGGACTTGTAGTCAGCTTGCAACTGAAACAAACAAACAAACAAACAAACAAACAAACAAAACCCCAAAACCCCCAAAACAAGCAAATAAAAAACCCTCCAAAGCCTCACAACCAAAAAAAAAAAAGAAAACCCCAAAACCCCAAACCAAAACCAAAAACAAAAAAGAGAGATTCAATTTATGAGAATCACATCCACCAAGGAAACACAGAGGTGTAAATTGTCTGTGGCTCCTTATGACGTTTACAACCCAAAAGAGAGATTCATCATGAAACAGGTCAGCAGTTGTTTTTTCCAGGCACTCTGTTATCCCCCGACAGACAGGAGCAGCACTGTGCTGATCTTGAGTGAGGGTATGTTTTCAGTGTCACCCTGAGCTGACCTTAGGCCATGCTGCTGTTAAAAGAAGCAATTGCCCTCCTCTGTGACATCCAGCTGCTCAGGCTTGCAGTGTGTTCACATGTTTGTAGGGGTCTTTCAGCCACGGGACATATCAACCCTCTGTCTTGCTGAAGGCCAGTGTTTCTTCCTTGAAGAATCACAGAATCACAGAATCAGCTGGGTTGGAAAAGACCTCCAAGATCATCAAGTCCAACCCTTGATCCAACCCCGCTGTGGTTCCCAGATCATGGCACTGATGCCACATCCAGTCTCACTTTAAACATGTCCAGAGATGGAGAATCAACTCCCTCCCTGGGCAGCCCATTGCATGGCTGATTACCCTCTCTGTAAAGAATTTCTTGCTAATATCCAACCTAAACCTCCCCTGGCAGAGTTTAAGACCGAGCCCTCTTGTCTTACTGCTGATTCCTGGGAGAAGAGTCCAACTCCCACCTGGCTCCCCCCTCCTGTCAGGGAGTTGCAGAGAGTGAGGAGGTCTCCCCTGAGCCTCCTCTTCTCCAGGCTAAACAACCCCAGCTCCCTCAGCCTCTCCTCACAGCACTTGTGCTCCAGACCCTTCCCCAGCCTCGCTGCTCTTCTCTGGACCTGCTCCAGCACCTCCTGAACTGAGGGGCCCAGAGCTGGACACAGCACTCCAGGGGTGGCCTCACCAGTGCTGAGTCCAGGGGAAGAATCACTTCCCTGCTCCTGCTGCCACACTGTTCCTGATCCAGGCCAGGATCCATTGGCCTTCTTGGTCACCTGGGCAAACTGCTGTCTCAAAGGCGTCATTTTCAACCAGATCAACAAACTTACCTGACTTATCAAGCAATTCCTAATTTTGATATGAAAGAGAACATGTACTTGGGAGCAAGGCATAGTCACCCTTCTCAGTGGCAACTCTGTCACAGAGCAGTTTTCACCCAGCAATGATGCTATGCTGAGAAAGTGTCTTGAACACGTCCTGCTCCACCAGAACCACCAGGGTTTGTCTTCCCTCGTGTAACTTCCATCAGCGTTACACGTTTGTCAAAAGGCAGCTTCACCAAACACAGCCTGACAGTGTCAGCACCTGCTAAGCCAACTTTAAACACAGCCACCACACTTACCTGAGAAACCTGCATGTAGCAGCAGGAACCCTTTGGGTCTATCCTTGCACCCCTACAAGGGCACTGGTCCTACACAGCTCAGTAAGGTCTAGCTTGTGCTGTGGAGCAAGAAACCCACAGAGACACAGTTCAGACCCTGAGCTGAGCTCCACACTCACAGGGGGCAGCTACAGAGTGTCAGAGCCTCTGATCTAAGTCTCACCTGATGGCTCAAGGCATCCAAGAATTACATATACATAAATATGCAAGAACACACAGAGCATGTACCATAATCTAAGCATTTTATTAATAACATAATCATAATTTTCAGAGCTTATTTTAGGACAAGTTGAAGGCAAACAGGCTGTGTTTTTTCCTTTTATCTATGTTGCAGAAGCATACAGCATCAAACAGCACACACAATAACTATTAAGTTGATGTATTAACTTATAGCAATTTTTTTGTATAGTCTTTGCTATCCTGTTGTGGGCACCAGCAAATTCTCCCCAGCTCTGTCATGGATAGTGCATGTCTGCCAGATGATTATTGCTCAGAAAGTGTTTTCAATGTGAAATATTTATTTTGTAGTACCACAGTGATGCTGTATGTAATTCATCAGGGAATTGCAGCATTGCACCATATCTCACTGGATCAACTTTAATGAGCGATTTCTAACAAAAAATACTGCCGTAGGAAGCAGAAAAATTGGAACAGTTTTTGGTGCCTGCAGATGTATTCTTCAGCTCCCAGATTCCCTATTCCGGATACAAAGCCCTAAAAATACTACTGTTTCACTGCAAAAAGCCACTTGGAAGTAACCTTATCAAGCCTAATGTATGACAAGATGACAATACTGCTGTTACCAAGATATTTTATGCGTGAGATATGTTGGTGAGTGTATACACAAACATGCAAATCACATACAAAGGTACCAGCCTCCTTATGTAAGGGGGCAGGGTTCTAAAACTGGGCATTACAAGATGAATAAGACAAGGTATAGTTATTTGTACAAGAATAACAAGGATGTGACCTTAAGGACTGAAGACCCATGAGAAGTATGAGCAGGACCTTTCTCCCCTGACAGTATTGTTACATCCACATCAGATACACAATGTGAAAAAAGGACTTGACCTCCACAACATTACCCCAATTCCCAGACCCTTGCCTTTCCTCCAGGCCTTTTGTCCTGGTCTTAGATCTGTGGACATGTCATGGGAAGGCCAGGTCAAGAGGAAAAGGGAGGTGTTTTCTTCTCACCAAACTAGCAAAAAAAACCCCATGTCATTTTATACAGCTTCCTCTTCAGGTACAAATTAGTTTAGAGGTGAGAAATGAGAACTGCCTCTGCAGATATGTCTCCACACAGAGAAGGCTGTCCAGGTGCATGAGCAGGTCCTTTAGGGCATGCTGAAGGGAAGGGTTTTAAACAGATAGACTTACCCTGTACCCCAGAGGGCCAAGCTCTTGATTCCACTAAGGATGAGAAATTTCCCCCTAAGGAAACTCTGCAGTGCCACTGTACCACCTTTCTCCTAGTTCCCTTTCACAGGTCTGCTTGTGGCCAGCTGTGAGCAGGTGCTGTTCTGCTTCTTTGGCTATTCGTGTTGTACATTCTGTTCCAGTGTCCTCTTTCATGTGGTCAAGTCCATAGCTGCTGATGACTCTTACTCACTTGTCCCACGGACCAGCTTTCACCCCACCCCTTTATCCTGACCTTATGCAGGGTACTCAGGTGAATAGCAGTGCAATCTCTGGTTACTCTGTACAGCCACTGTACTAAGTGCACACTCTGCTGCTTGTGTGCTGTGGATGCAAACGTGCTCCCGACGCTGCTCAGTTTTACCGTGCTCCTGTTCCTACAGCTAAATGCAGAAGACAAAAGAGAGAGAGATGCAGTTATTCTGAAATGCAACTGTGGAGTCACACTGCGTGGCTCTCTGGCTAGCTTTCTCTGCCTTTGGGAACTGTAACCTCCTCTAGTCCTTTCTGCTGACAGCATCTATTTTTTACCCTCAGCTGCCACTTGTGCACGGGCCATTAATGCGCTGCGGACACACAGCCAACATTCATCCCCTCACTTAGCCAGACATCTGGCAGCTCAGTGGCATCTGACCTCTCCTTTGCTCTGAACCAGGCAGCGTGGGCAGCTTTCATTACGCTCCCTGGTGCCTCTGTGTTACCACACAGATGGACCCTCCAGACCCTGACACGGGTACCTCACTCCTGCCTCGACCTCAGATGTTTTTTGCAGACGGTTTATGTAAAGGAATCAACAGCTAATTTCATGAAGGGAGGAAGGGTGGGAAGTTATTACTATGACAACAATTTTGTGCTTGCGGGGATAATGCTTTGTACATAGGAACTTCAAAGTAGGACAAGGGTGATAAGAAACAGATCTCAATCAGATATTAATTTCCTGTTTTCTATTAAAAACAGTCCTATATCACAACCAGTGCCGTATTTCTATCCTAGCTAGGCCAGGGATATTTTATCCTAAACACTACCCATTGCTATAATCAGAATACAAGGAAAACAACGACACACAAAATATTTTTTTCCTACAGAAAATTTTAAGACCTGCTCTCTTTCCGCTGTTCTGGTGACCAAACTGTCAGTATAAATTCCCACAATCTACTTCCATGATTACTAAAACTTCTTTCCCTTTGGCTCCCCACTGCTATTGCATAAAGCAGATGTTAAAAATGTGCAACTTGGCTGTAAACCTGACCCTGTCAATCCTCTTCATTATGTGTAGCTCAGGGCTGGTGTTCTGACCTCCTAGTCAAGTGGGAGCCAGCTCCCTCCCAGGAATTCAGCCTCTGCTTCATCTCACCCTCCACACTGCTAGGCTGTTACCACCACGTCATGGTTTTCTCCTCTTGAAGGTGCCCTTGGTCACTTTCTGACTGTCTACAGCTTTTTTCTTTGTGAAAACGTCTCCTTAGTTCCCATTCCTATGCCATACCTCTATCTCAGTTTATTTGTCTCTGTTATGATATGATAGATACATACATGCCGTAAAATAAAACTTTGTGGTGTTAGGCTGAGCAGATAGGTCAAGTTTTTGTTGTATCCAGCACCATTTCTACCTTTGCTGCACTACGTCTTAAACAAGTTTATAATCTCTTCCTTGTGTTTTAGGGCATTCCCCCCCATTTGTTTTTACTACTGTTTAAAATTCTAAATAGCTGTAATTACTATTCATTTATACAGCAGCTCTTGGCTTTGCAAGGTTTGGCCTGGAACACCAAACTAATCGTTTTGGAGACTATAAAAAACCAGCCAAATATCACTGAGTAATGAAATTCAACAGGCTATCATTTGTGGTACCTTACTCTCAAGGTATTTTCTTTGTCCATTTAATAACTATAGCTCTACCCTCAACACCTGGCCTATCAAGCTGAGACTTGGATAAAAAAATCCTCCTTTGAAGTACCTAATCTAACTAGTTTTGCTACTGTGACAAACATGAAGAGTAACAGACACAGACTTTCTTTCTTTTGCTTAATTTATTGGTATTGACATTCAAATATCACACATTCAACCCCTTTGACAGTTTGCCTCCAAATCCTGAAAATTAAAAAAAAAAAAAAAAAAAAAAAAAAAAAAAGAAGTTTATACTCTGGACTACTGGTCCTATCAAGAAGGAATAATGAAGAAATCTTCAGGATTCTAGGATTGCACTGAGTCCTCAGCCTTTATACTGGAATCAAAATGCAAACATAATCTGCACAGTTACACAGCATTTGCAACTTAAAACAGTAAAACTAATACTTATCTACACCTAATGCAACAAAAGGGACAAATCTGAACTGTGGCTTGCAAATGGTCCAGCTATGGGCAATACCTGTTGCTGACAGATTTTCAGTGAGAGAAGGCTGTATGGGTGTACAGCTGACGGATCATTTTAAATTCTTCGGCTAAAGGAGAGAAAATAAGGAAGAGTTTCTGTGGTCAGTAACATCAGCTTTTCCTAGCTGTTCCTCAGCTTGCTGCCGCTCACCTGGCTTAACTGGTAAAGGAAACTCCAAGCAGGAAGCTGAAGGGAATTACAAAATTTCTGTGGATTTCCAGGTCTTCAGAGGCAGCTGTTGAGAAGCGTTTTGATCTTTCCAGAAATCCTCTGCAATTTTTGTCTTACCCAGCTCTGCATGTCGGGTCGATGTCTGCCTCCCACAAACCCCCTGTCACCTGCCATGCCTTTCCCAGTACCTCCTCCCTCTGTCAGTGCTCAGACACTGAGAATGGCCATGCCTGGGGCTGGTCACTGCCAACACCCCTCTCTAACAGGGCCAGGGGTCAGCTACCGACCAGGGTGCTCGATGATGCTGGGAGGATCCAGTCCTGCCTGCTAGATTATGGGAGAGGCTATCAAGGCAGTATCACTGTTTGGGATGTTGAAATTGTGACTGGTCTGGGGGCTGGGGATTGCTGTGCAAGAAGGTTAGGACACTAAAAAGTGCAGCACTACCAAGTCCTGCACAACATACTCCTAAGTGCCAGTAACAGCAGCTGTGGGTGAGTGTGAGTACAACTAGCCCTCCTTGATCCCATTCCATGCACCTCTCCAAGCAGGGCCCCAGAGACTGACTTGCTTGCCCCTCACCTGATTTCATTCATTAGGCTCCTTAGGGTCAGCTGGAAATAGGCCAGAACACTGTCTGCCATTTGGAGCTCTGAGAAGGCAATTCTAAAATACGGAGTCAGGTTTTTGACTAGAATGCCAAGGATCAATTCTCCATTCATGTGTCTAGCTTCCTCTCTTTCCTGAAAGGAGCCAAGAGCACAGATGAAAGCCATAAAGCAGCTGTGTGTTGGTGTTTGTGTTTGATGTGCTTCTGTTCACCTAAGGTTATCTGAGGATGTTCAGGTACACAGATGGACAGAAAACTAGAACACTTTATTGTGTCAAATGTGCAGTTCAAAAAATCAAACATATTGTTCCAATTACCCCTTAGGACCTGTTAAAGCATTAATATACCATATGTAAAGGCATGAAGATGAGCATAAAAAATGAAGTGAAAACACTTGATGCACCATCTAATTTGGCTTTTTGCAGCAGCATGTCCACAACTGCACAGCTGTGCAAGCATTCAGTAATGTGAAGCTTTAAGAAGTTTCTTTGGCAATTTTGTTACTCCTTACCAAAATGTCATGTGCAAGTGCAGGTTTGAAGGTCTGAAGGTTTGATGCTCTCTACAGCTGGTTCTATGACTAAATCTTTTTGGACTGTTACCATCACACACACACACACACACACACATGTATATATTTAACTGCACTAGGTACACTTCTTAGATAACAGCCTCATTGTCAGCAGAGACAAAACACACAAGACATGAGCCACAGAGCTATTTTCTTTGAAAAGAAATCAGTCACCATGGCGAAGATCTATACAGATATTTTCCAGGGTAAAGATTTCAAATGGCTCCAGAAATTAAATGAGTGGTTACACATTCTTTCTATTGATTTCTGTATTGCTTTTAGGTAACTACATACCCAAAGGCACCCAGTGCAAACAGGAGCTTGGCACACTTTGAAGATTATGCCAAATTCTTCTTGCTCTATGAGCGGAGATGAATTCCATGATATTGCTTCTGTACACAAGGCAGGAAAGATTTGCTCCCAAGTTCCTTATTTCCTTGGCAAACTGTTCTTATAAAGCACACTGCCAGCTCTGCAAGCTTTTAAGCAGTGGATTCAGTCGGGTTGTTTATATAAGTGAGAGCATGTATTTGCTCAAATGCTGCCCAGTTCAAATTCTATGCCACTGCTGGAATTCTCACATAAAGTCATGCTCTAAGTAAGACACTCCTTACTGAAAGTCCTCTCCTGCTGTTGCAGAACTAATGGTGTGGGTGAGGGCTACACAAACAGGGGTTTTAAAATGGTGTTTCCATACAGCACCTTTCTGCTTCCTTGTTATGAGATTGATGGGTAAAGATAAGGCAACAAGAAGCACTGGCCTTTCTGGTTTTAATGGACTCAGGATATCCACAGTGATCTGCAAGTTCCACATATAGCTATCTGGCATGGCATAGGCTGCTGTTAACTCTTCTCAGAGTTCAGTAGGAGTGGAAAAAAACATCAATCACTGAAAAAGAATAATCTGAGATATTTGGTACATGGTTAGCATCGGTCCCTGTATATTGACAAAAAGGAGAATTTTGGTTCTCAGACAGCAAGAAAATAACAAGTCTTGAGGGAGGAAGATCAAGACAGATAGTGGCCAAGGGACAGAAAAGATAGAGAAAAAAGACATTTTTCCGTACACAGTCTAAGTCTGTTCTGACTATTGTACCCAAGTCAGAGTTTGCTGGGGACCAAAATTACATAGGAAAGCAGAACTGGAACTTCATACTTGCAAGAAACCCTTTCCCATTCCTGGAATAGCTGTTGAATGAACCTGAAACATATGGAGTGAAAAAAATGGAATCCCACTGATGGAAGTGGGATTCAGTTTCCTCACATTTAACTTGGTGGAAGCATCAGCAGAGCCCCTGCAAATGATTCTTCGCTGTTATTCTTCCAGGGGCAGTACATTCAGAATCCATCTGGGATTAAATAGCCTGTGCTAATATGGTGTGCGCAGCCAGTACTTGACAACATCTGTGGAAACTGGCTCTGTACAGAGCTCCTGAGGGGCACAGTGTATTGGTTTTGCATGGCATGGTTTTGGTAGAGGAGGGGCTGCAGGGGTGGCCTCTGTGATAAGATAGCAGAAGCTTCAGCTGTGTCCAACAGAGCCAGTGCCAGCCAGCTCCAAGACAGACCCGTCACTGGCCACGGTCAAGCCCATCAGTGATGTTGGCACTGCCTCTGGGATAATGTACTTAAGAAAGGGAGAAGAACTCCGTGCAGCAGCAATCACAGCCAGAGAGGAGAGGAGTGAGGACGCAGGAGAGCAACAGCCCTGCAGACATCAGGGTTAGTGAAGAAGGAAGGGCAAGGAAGGTCGTGGAGCAGAGATTCTCCTGCAGCCCACGGTGCAGCCCGTGGTGAGGCAGCTGTGCCCCTGCAGCCCATGGAGGACTCCATGCTGGAGAAGGTGGATGCACCTGAAGGAGGCTGTGACTCTGTGGGAAGCCCACGCTGCAGCAGGCTCCTGGCAGGACCTGTGGTCCCATTAAGAGAGGAAACCCATGTTGGAACAGGTTTCCTGGCAGGACTTGTGACCCCACAGGGGACCCACGTTAGAGCAGTCTGTTCCTGAAGGACAGTACCCCCTGGAAGGCACCCATGCTGGAGCAATTTGTGAAGAACTGCAGCCTATGGGAAGGACTCATGTTGGAGAAGTGAGGATTGTCTCCCATGGGAAGGACCCCACCCTGGTGCAAGGGAAGACTGTGAGGAAGAAGGAGGGGCAGAAACCATGTGTGATGAACAGAACCCATTCCCTGCTACCCTGCACCACTCAGAGGGAGAAGGGAGAGAAAATCAAGGGTAAAGTTAAGTCGAGAAGGAAGAGAAGGGTGGGGGGAAGGTGTTTCAAGATTTTTATTTTTTCATTATCCTACTCTAGATTTTATTTGTAATAAATTCAACTTGTTTCCCCAAATCGAGCCTATTTTGCCTGTCCTGGTAACAGGTGAGTGATCCCTCCCTGCCCTTATTTCAGCACACAAGCCTTTAGTTAAATTTTCTCTCCCCTGTCCAGATGAGAATGGGATAGAGTGGTTTCCATGGGTACCTGGCATCTTGCCAATGTCAACCCCCTGGCCCCCCACAGGCAGAAGTCAAATGTGCAATGTTCATACATAAACTATTAAGACAAAAAAAAAAGAAGACTAGCACCTCACACAATTTTCATTTTATGTCACTTGGCAGGACGACTTTCTACCGTAGAGACCATGAACTGCAGAGGGGTGTTACAGACAGATACACTCCCACAGAGCCAAGTGCAGCACAGCATCATTTTTGGACTCTCTCCTTGTCTCCTAATTTTCTTGTAAGCTGTGGTGGAGATGTAAGAATCTCCTTCCCTTTCAGCTTCTGCTGCCTTCAGTGTCTTTGAGCACGTTGCTGCTACATTACTTTAACATATATATAACCGGTACAACTCATTATTTTCCCAGCTGAATCCTTATTCCTACTCATTCTAATGTTTCTACTGAGCGTGCTTTGGTACCGTGGGAGTTGAGACTTCAAACATCCTAACCAAAAGGGTGTCCATTTTCCAGGAGGCAATACTTTGCTATGGCAAGTCATTGATCACAGCCTAACTGACATCAGAATGGCACTTCATGCTTTTCTTGATATTCAGCCAACATTTTCCCCACTTCCTCTTAGCCCCAGATGTAGGCTGTCAGACTGTTCCAGCCTGACCTCAGCAATTTCCACTTATGAAACAGTCCTCTAAGTAAAATAAAAAGCAAGATTCTTCATATTTTTTTTTCTTCTTGCTAAAACTTACCAAGTCCCATTACTTCCACAGAGGTGGGTTTTATAGGATTAAATGGGATTTTAGTTTCAAAACCATTACAGATGTTACAGGCAGTTCAGTTCAAATGCTTTTGTGCTTTTTTTGTTTCTTTAAAATTTTAGCTTTCCCTGTTTATTTTCTTTCTTTGACATGCAGCAGAGGAAATGGTACTTAAGAGAAATCCCTGAGAGATCATCTGACTTAACTTCTGTGGTTTGAGTTACTGTATATTTAACAAATTGCTTAGGTAACTACTTCATCTCTTAGAAAATTAAGTTTTAAATAAACGGAACTGTACAAGAACAAGGTGATAAAATCTGCAGCAAGCTTTACTGGATATCTTGATCTTGGAAACAGTGTTGTGTACTTTGTTCCCTGGTTTGGGAGGCTTCTTTTGCACTCTTTTTCTCTTGTATATTTGAGGTCTTCTGCCTTGCCATGGGGAAAAAACACGTGTCAGCATTTGCATGGTTTTTCTCCATTTTAAGTGTTTATAGTTTCAAACATTCATTGAAATGTGGTTTAAAAAATAGTGAAAGACATCCCAACATGCATCTTAAAACAGAATTTCAAATAAATCTGTGTTAGGGGAATGGGAAATACATCAAACAACATGCTTTAAGTATGATTCATCATTTGATGTAGCTGGTGCATCATAACTGATGCTTCCCACCTGACAAAGGCAGGTAATGCACCTTTACAACTGTGTGCCAAGTTGTAAAATGAACCTCACAATTTCTGGAGCCCTTTTTTTCTTCTTTTTTTTTTTTGGAGTTTGTATTGTTAGTCTGACACTAAGTTGCCACCTTTCTTTTTCTCATACCTACCATGTTTCTAATGTATTTGATTCCATATTTTGATGAAATTGTGAGAAGCTGAGAGCTTAGTACCTAATGTGTGCACATCTACAATGTCACCAGAAAGCAATACAGGTACATTTGAAGTTTTTATGTGCTCTTCCTCATTAACATTTAAGAGTTTTACAGTCCTCTTACAGGAGAAATTCTCTTCCTTCATTCTCCATAAGGAATAAAAATACAGCCAGAAATCTCCACAAGTCATCACAGCCGAGAATTTATTTACCTAAGTCCCACTGAATGCAACAGAAATAAAGCAGAGACAGAAAAATGTCTGCAAAACAGATAATTGACCCTAAACCTTTCTGTTCAGGTAAGTTATTTTCTGAACAGACTGCAGACTTAATTATGACTGCAATGAAGCTAGATCAAGCACAGATTAAATAAACTCTTTGCCTTTATTATTTCTCTGTTCAATCCTCTGTTCCTCTTCAGTCCAAATACAATCAGTCTTCCTTTCACCTCCAGTCTGCACTACAGACTATAATTAAACAATGACAATCCGACATTTATCTATAGAGGAAAATTGTTTAAAGAACCAGTTAGTACATGGAAATTTTTGTTTCACTAGTGCAAAAGTGGTACTTAATACCCCTTTATTCCATTTATTCTCCCTTCTACGCATTTTAATGCTCTCACCCTCATTCACATGCTCATTCATTTTGGATTTCATTTATTGGTTTGACAGGAGCCAGACTCACCTCAGCTACTATTGGGCAACACTGCAGGGCCCAGTGAGACCACTTGTCTGCTTGTATTTCCACAAAGCATTTTCAGATGAAAATTGCTGAGGAAACCACATGCATAAATACGTAACAGTGAAAAAAAAAAAGTTAAAATCTGTGATATTCTTAACATTAAAGGGAGATTCCTTTAGGGACTATTTCTAGTTAGGTAGGGATTCCTTCTTTGCCCTTTCTCAGTACTGTGGTGTCGTAGCGATCTCTTCCATGCTGATACAGTATAACACTATAGTATAACAGGCCAAACTGCTACAAGAATTTACTATATATTACGTAGCCTTTGGAATCACATCCAAAAGCATTACAAGCCCGGAAGCCACATTCTATGAATTATGACACAGCAAGACGTGAAAAAAGCACATATCTTGCCTTGTCCCTTCCCCTTAAAAGCGCTTGGTTTTTTATGGGCAGTTTGTGCTGACTCTCCAAAACTCTTCCAAGAAACTGACTTCAGACTGTACCTCTCGGCATCAGGAGAAAACCTGAAGCAAAGGACAGCAACCCTCCCAAACAGAAAATGCATGAATAGACTGAAAAAAAGATCCGCACAGCAACATCAGCGCTGCCTCCTCTGCAGGCATAATAAACACACACTCAGGAAGGGAAGGAAAAACATGGCAATGAGCCTTTTTTGGGCCTTTTGCTTTACAAACTGACTGGAAAAAGTGCAGAGTGCTGTGTGGGTCGCTGCCTGCTTGTTTTCATTTCTACAGTTCCAGTGCACAGTGAGAGGAGTGACAGAAGCCCCACGCCAGCTATGGAGATGTCTTTCAGCTGGAAGGGGTGGTTGGGGGCAGCTGAGTCAACCCTTCACTCACCAACCTCAGAGAACAGGGCTGCTACTGCTGCAGCAGCAGGTGTAACAGCGGAACTGTTCCCACTTTCGTGGCCCAACTCTCACCCTGCTTCTAGAGGCTGAAGTTCCACCAGTTGCTTATTTAATCCCGACCAGTCCTGGATTCAATCTACAGCCTTTTGGATGAGATGGAAAGCTGAAGCACATACTGCAAGAAAAATGAAAGCATGATTTGAAAAGTAGATGCTTTCACTCCTCCTCCTCTGCCTGATGCAAACCAGATTACTGAAGTTCCAACTAAAGGGAAATATTTGCTTATAAAAAGAGCAAATTATTTATACCTATTGCTGTTTTTCAAAGTATAAAGGTGCGACCTTCCTCTCTTGTTCTCTCCCCAGATTTACTCCTGCTGGTAGGAAAAACAAAAGACATAGAAAAGCAGAATTCTAAAATGGGTAATAAATCTATCACAAAAGCTTCACTGGTGAAGTCTCTCAACAGAATCAGATGTTTGGATATCTAAAACACTAAATTACCCTATAAAAGCTACATACATTTTACCCTCAAAGATGACTAGATTTCTACTAGAGTTATCAAAACATCAAACCTTTGTAACTGCAGAATCATAGAGTCATCAAAGTTGGAAGAGACCTCTAAGATCACCCAGTCCAACCATCAACCCAGAACTACCACTGTAACCCCTTAGCCAGTAAAACATATCACCCAGCGCCAGATCCAGACGTCGCTTAAGCACCTCCAGAGATGGTGAGTCCATCACCTCACTGGGAAACCTATTCCAATGCCACCCTAACAGTGATTTTTTTTTTTCTAATATCTAATATGAATCTCCTCTGTCTCAGTTTCAGTCCTCACACTGCAGGTGTGGCAGAACAGGCTGACCCTCACCATCTTTCCCTTAAAGCTAAAGATCAAAGATTTGATAGACCACCAAACTTCAGAGTTTAGCATTAAATTTTGCAAGTAGTTTGGAAAGAGTTATTTAAGGCTGGGAAGTACAAGGACTCAGTTCTTCCTATAAGTTGGTCAGCCTTTATTTTTAGTTTTCAATTGTCAATATTTTTTTCCCCTTCTGTAAAAGAAGTTTAACAAACTGCCAGTACTTGAAGCTGTATTTACAGGTCAATTGTGATACAAACAGGACTCATAATGTTATGCAGCATTCAGACTACTTCAGCTCCTTCAGCCAGCAGGACTTCTAAGAAAAAGAAAAAATGCTAATGCTAATTTAGTCACTGAAGTTGTCACAGGTTTGCTGATCTCATATTACCTGAAAAACTGCTTGAGAACTTGGATCCTTAGGGAATGTACAAGCCAAGAATTACAAATTACATTTTTAATGCTACTTCCAGATCAACTTTTTGTGGAGTCACTCTGTGGTTCAAAGGCACTCCCTTTAAAAATAGCAACTAAATGTCTCCTTTACCAAGTTGCACAGGAACAGAGAAGGGGAATAATTTGGCCTTGTTAAATCAGAAAAGCCACCATGTTTCACCTGAAGACTATAAAAAGTTCAACTCAAATCCTACCCGCGCAAATAAAATCAATTCATAGATTAAATCTATGACCTGTGTTTTATGAGTATCAGTCTATAGCAAATGTACTAATATCATGCTTGGTCCCTACCCTGATCTACCGCTTGCAGAAAAAAACCAAAACAACTGAAGAAACCTTGTACAGTTCAAAGAATAATTACCTGCAAGGCTTATCTTTCAAGACTAATAATGCATACTATAGAAGGAAAGGTACATATATTTGCTTTAAAAATTCTGCAGTTCCAGTAAACCCGAAAAAAGTTTAATAAGACTGAATTATGTGATTGTAAGCCTACTAAATTACACTGTCTGTTGTAAAGAATCAGCCTTTTCCCTCCCAAGCCATTTAGTTAAAATGTTTTCCCCGTTAAAACTTCAAACTTTCCAGAGGGATTGCAACAATAGCTCCTGTCTTATTTATTATTGATATTAATGAAAGAAAATAGATGTGTATAAGCACAAAGCCAGTGGTATCAAGAACAGATTCACACCCAGAGTGAAATGAAAATGGAAACGGAAATGGAAACTGGGAAAATGGCTGGGTTCTGGAATATGAACCAACAGGTAAGCATGAAATAAGGGGAAGAGGAATAGTCACTACCACCAACTAACTAGCACAAAGAAGCCTTTAATTAGCAGCTGCTCATTAAGCAGGCCTGTGAGTCTTTCAAGACTGCGAAGTTAAATTTGTAGAAAGCAAACACCTGCTGGGCCCAGACAGCAGCCAACTCTGAAATACTTTTAGGCTCAGTTACATATTTGGATTCCTATCTATCCTGGTCTAGATATCCCTTGGGTTCCTATTTAAGACCATATCGAATAAGAGCAATGAACAGGCCTATCAGCCTCTTACATCAGTAGCCTTTTTCTTATCACGTTGGTTTTCTTCATCTCAAAACTGCAACATTCAGTTTGTCTTTGCTGCCCAGGAATGCACAAAGACAGTAGGAACATGGAATGTTAACGTACAGACCCCAAACATACTGCACAGAGTGCAAGAATTGTTCTGAAGGCCATTAAATTCTACCAACTATTTTTGTTACCATGTACTATATTTTCACCAGTTGTGTATACTGTTTAGGTGACTTATTCTGTGTTTTTATGGTGAGATGAAGCACACAAGAGCCTGTTGAATCCCAAGCCTGATCCTGTAAGTTGACACTTCTGCACTGTAGGAGCAGCTAAACAAGACAATACCAGCCATCTGGATGATAGAAGAAGAAGAAAATATTAAAGCAAAAATATTGTGGTCCTGAGCTAGCAAGAGCTAAGATTAGTGTGTGTGTAAAAAGAATCACGAGGTCAAGCTGGAAAGCTGCTTGAAGTATGATTGTTCTCCGTGGCTGAAGGCGGCCACGGGAGTGTCTGTGTGGTATGTCTGCAGATAAGCAACACCTGGCCTGGCTTGATGGCTCAGACTTTTATTGTGTATATAAATGGATTAATAAAGCTGCAGCAGAGTTCTGCCTGGACAAAGTCTGTCTCCCGTGGATTCACTCACTGCAAAGGGTGCTGAGTGAGGGATTTTTGCTGCACCGTGCAACACTTCTACTAATGTGTTCTGAGTAAAAATAAAACCCTGAAACACACGACAGCACAATACCACATGTGAAAAGTTTCTCCACTTGTGGTTTCCTCAAACAGCATATAAAAGACCACCACCTAGGGTAACATCACTGAAGTCTTTTAGTGGGTATTTTTAATGGTAATGGGCAACATTGTTTTTCATCAGCACTGAAAGAGCGAAGACTTACCAGGCCTCAGTTCTATGAAACCTATCTGAAGGAGAAAATCACTGAGGCTATGCCCACAGCCTAAAGCAGCGGGTCTTACAGGAGGTGAATTCCTCCCAATTCCAACATGCCATGGGATGTACACCTCAATGGTTATATAATTTGCCAGTCTTGCCAGACTCCTGTTTAATTATTTCTGCTTAAAAGTTAGTCACTCTTGCTTGAGGCAATGCTCTGTTTTCTCTTTACAGTTGCAACTACCTTCTGTTTTCTCTCTCTTGCATGCCCCTCTCTTATGCTCCCTGTGGGGACAAAGAGAGTCAAGGCAGTCAGGCTGCAGAGGGATGGGAGACCTGACACCGAAAATGCCTTGTCCTTAGGGAAGTAAAAAACACCAGGGGCCTTGAACAGGACATGCCCTACAGGCTGAGACACTGTAGTGGAGCCGCTAGAACACAAGAAGTAGCAGGAACTGCAGTCATTTCACTCTATCCCCCATCATTTGCCTACTGCCTCCTAGCTACAGCGCAGTGAGCATCAGTGCAATTGCAAGAGGGTTACTGGCGGCTGTGTTCGCTGCTGGCTGCCCTGCCCACGGCAGCCAGAGGCAACAGTTTCAAAGAAAGGAGTACTTACAACACTGGCATGCTGTGTGAGGAAAAGGGACCGGATGAAGGCACCAGTTTCCTGGTTTACTCAGTCAGTGAAGTCATGTCAGAACCCACACAGATATACGATTTTGACATCTTTGAGGCTTATTAAAAATAAACAGGATCACTGGGACTCGGAAGAGAGTTGGGAGGTAGAATCATAGAATCATAGAATCGATTGGGTTGGAAAAGACCTCCGAGATCATCAAGTCCAACCCTTGGTCCAAATCCAGTCCATTTACTAGATCATGGCACTCAGTGCCACGTCCAATCTGCGTTTAAAAATCTCCAGGGATGGTGAATCCACCACCTCTCTGGGCAGCCCATTCCAATGCCTGATTACTCTCTCCTGTGTGAGGTATTTAGATCCTAGTATGGTGCCTGTTACTGGCTTCACACAGACAAGATTCTATGCAGTTTTACCTGGTGCCGATTAAAATGGAAGTAAACAGCTCATTGTGATGAATTCCAAAAGAAGCAAGTAAGTCTCTAGGAAAAATGGAATTGATTAGGGCTTACTAATTAAACTCCTCATACATTCACTCTAGGTAAGTTAGATCACTTGCAAGTAACCAGCAAGGCTCCTTTTTTAGAAAATGCCTCAGTAAGTCACTCAGTAATCACAAGTTAAAATACAAACCATAAATACATAAACCATATGATCTAAGCCAACAACCAGGCTGTGGCTCGCTTCTCTTGTTGTGCTGTCATCTGAGAACTCAAACCCTAACATTCCTGCTCATGCCAAGGTGCATGGGAGAAGAAAAACACTACGCATGCTCTCCCATCTGTAAAATAAAAATAATTTATTCAGATAACCCTTAAGAACTCTCTCAAGAATCTCAGTATATTAGTGTACAATTAATGACCACTTCAGAAATCATGCTTTTGGTGCAAAGCATAAATTTTACGGCAAGTGCCACAAGATGTTTTTTCATTACTTCATAGCAGCCTATGATTAACAAGAAACTTACAAATAAATACTATCAGGACTAAGAACAGTATTTAATTTTTATTTAGCTTTGACAAACTCTGGATTGCTGGGAAACAATCTCTGTCTGACAGCTGTCATAATCAGAAACCTTCCTGGCTGAAGTAACACAATTCAGCAGTGTACTTTTAAGTCCTGTAGAAATATTAGTATATCCCACAGAAGAAGTGAATGATGATATCACAGCACTCAATAAAAACGATGAGTTGACTTCAGTCTCTGTTTTCCTGGTAACAATACTTAACTGTTTCCAAAATTTAGCTTTAAAACAAGGATACACTGTTGGATGGTTTTCAGAGATGTCATTACAGGATATTAACTTTCTGGGGAGAGGGACATATTTTCCTCAGGATTCTTGCTTTTTTGTTGGTTTATCTAAGTAAGGAGTGTTGTCTTGTAGAAGATCTTTCCTGGGTATGAGCACTGTAATAGAAAAAAAACCCAGTAAGACTATAATCTTACGGAAAATATTATTCTGAAGTTGTTTTTACACTAACAAACAAAAAATTAGGATCTCATAAGGATCACGAGGATCTGAACTTTGGGTTTATGGTGAGGATCTGAATGAGGATTTGAACTTCTAGTAAGTGTACAAGCATCATCATGACTTCTACCTAAGAAAAATTATGCTTTTTACCTTCCCTTGGTCACAATAATGCCTTCCCATTTTTCCTTTTAAGAGCATTGAAAACTTTAATAGCACTAAGAAGCCATAAAAAAAAAATGTCAAAGCCTTGCAGTAACTCTTAGCAGGAAAGTGAATGGCAATTTTATCAAGCCTGAGCCATGTTTACTTCAATAGTTTCAAAAATTAATACTGAATTTGACTTAGCCTGCTCCCCCAAGTCCTGGAATTTGATCTGTACTATTTATCCTGTCACACCTGTTTTAAAGGTCAAGAGGAAAGGAAAGTTATTGCCACTGTATTGTCACAGAACTGACTATACTGTCACAGAAGTGCACTGTGTTAGGGTTTGCCTAAATATACACCATTTTAACCCCTTCCTGACACCTTAGTTCTTGCTGTCTAACTTGTCAGAATCAGCTTGTCTTTTTTTCATGAAGTGAAGGTGCTGTGTCATGTCAGATTTGCTCCAGCAGCAAAAACTAAATCACAAACACCTGAAATCATAACACTGTACTTTGACTATGCCAGGCGGCTGCAAGAGATGCAGTAAACCTGCAAAACTGTGTGTTTGTGTGTGCAATGAGTAACATGCTGTCCAAAGTGCACTGATATCCCTTACCTTACGAGAAAAAAACCTGATTTTCTTGAGGGTATGCTCTTTTTGCATCTATGTACTGATACTGATGCATTTAATAAGTTTCTAAGATCTTTAAGTAAAATTCCCATTGCATTTCTCTTAGATAAAATCAATGGGAGTACAGGTACGAGAAAACATGTTGATCTACATGCCTAGAACAAATACTAAAAAAACCCAGAACTGGATATAAAGTATTGAAAAGCAAAAGTACAAACAAATAAAAATTGAAAGCAGAATTTTTAACCTTCCTTTTCAGAGCTAAGTTTTGAACACACATTGCCAACATACCAAATCAAAATCAGCACATATTGCATGCCTGATATAACACTAAAAAAGTAAGCTCCGCTTGTCTCAGCTTAATCAGAAATTAAAGCAAAATGAAAAGACTGAGACATTTGTATACTATCGAGTAACGTAACTAAACATTAAAAAAAAACAGAAAAATTGTCTAATATAACTAACAAGCTCTTAATTGAAATTGCTTTCCCTTTAGTAAGAAAACCTCCGCCTATTGTTTTCTCCAAGATTTACTAATGAATCTCAACACGACTGTACACCACTGTGCCTCAAATTCTTTTTAGACAATAACAGTGCCCTGTGAACTGATTCTGTGACAGCACAATAATTTAATTGCACTAGGGAAGATGTTCCCCCTTGGTTTTTTTTGTTCTCACGAAGACAAGTCTTCAGCTTTTTTTCTTCTGTGGAAGACTTGACACTGGTCTAGTCATATCTTCGGGCTTCATCGTGATTGTCATTTTAACGTTAAATGCTCTACCAAACCTAGATCTCACAACTCTATCAAAACTTTACAGACAAAACTAAACAGAAGTGAAAGGAAACAATGTACTCAGGTGAAGATTTTCCCTGTTCTCTACCACACAGTTGTGTTCTTTCTCTAGTGTTCGACTGTAAAATAAAAGAACTTCTAAACTAGGAATCAAAATTTCAGAATTGGATAGACTTTGCATCAAGGCCATCGTTGTGTCACAGGTCTTCCACAGCACAATCTGAACCTGAAATTGCTGGAAAAAGGTTTTGGGAAAGAACACTCAATCCTCAAAAACATTCAAACACTCAAATCCTCAAAAAGCTATTCTATGAACAGTGTACATACTGCACTTGCTAATTCTCCTCAGGCAGCTTCCACCCACTTGGCAGAGCAAGCACCCACACACAGATACTGTGGCTACTACATTTACACACACACTGACTACCCTATACTTGCATGCTGACCTGCTACCCAATTGCTGTCCCTCCTAAGAGTTATAGCTAGTTAAATAGTCATAACTTCTTCCTCTCATTAGGGGCATTAAAAGTAGTCACCGCCTCTTTTCCACCAGCCTCCATATGTCAAACTATTTGTGTAAGAAACTTTGTACCTTTGAAGCCTCCACCTGTCCTAGGTGGTGACATTAATCATCAGCTTACATTAAGCTTTTGGGCAAAGAATAACAGACAATTTGTCTCACTATCCCTTTACTTATTTTCACATTCTGTACTTACTTACACAACTACAACATTTTTAAACATCTTTTTAGCGTGCAGACTGACTTACCTATTTTGTCAGAATCTGTATGAACTGCCTGAATAACGGAAGTTCTGAGAATCACTTCAACATCTGAAGCTATTTTCAGAAGCTAGCAAAAGGAACAAAAAAGGCACAGAAAACAGAACAGAGCAATTTAAATTATATGTGATTATTCCTGAAGATATTTTCCATACCAGACAACTATTCAAGTAATAAAGCCAGTCAGTTCTATTATTCAGTTAGCTATCTATATGCAGCTTTTGCCTTGGGGATCCTGGAATAATTTACAGATTGATATATAAACTACTCTGATATACAGATAAGAGAAGGAAACTTCAGCTCAGTAACATGCAGCAGAATATATAATAAAACTGCAAACAAATAAGGTAAAATGCAACCACAGAAACAATTAACTAGCTTCCAGTGATCAAAGACATTTTGCCTGAATGCCTGAATAACATTTGCCCTAGTGAAAGAGCAATCTCATTCTTTTAACACTACTGCTCTTCAAATAAGGAGAAAAAAACAAGGGCAAAACATGACAAGAATTAAGAATACTGAGGTTTCACAGAAAAGCAGTACAAGAACAAGGCACTACCTAAGATTAGCAGAGGCATTAGTATTTGGCAAAAGGCCTGGAATTCCTTCCCTCATTAGGACGATAAGCTGAAGCACCCTTGCTAGTTGTTTTGCTGCACCATTAAGAGAACCCAACGCTTGTTTGTATGATACTTGTGTCAGAAACAAATGAAATTGCACAAGTGAGACACTTTAGGAGACATGCTTATACTAGAAAGTAGTGTGAACCAACAGAAGAGGATCCCTGCAAAGGTTAGAGCTCAAGACTTGACATGTACACTGCACTTCTCCTCGTGCCTTTCCCTTTTAAGGGTTTGGAGCAGGTATCCTTCAGTTCTCCCTACTGAAAGGCCAGTAGCAGCCAGGCTGCATGCTCCTGAAGCACACCTTCCCCTTCAGATTGATCTCAAAGGAATTTTTGCCATTTGCTCTGGCATTGCTTTACAAAGCAAGACACATCACAGGAAGTGGAGATAACCAAGGTAACTTCAGAAGTGCAGTCCAGATCTGAACTAAAACCACTGCACTGGATTCAGCTACCACGTCTCACATTCTCATACTGCACACAGTTACTTTGATCTCCTTAAGATCACTGCACACTTGGTATGTATAAGTAGGCACTTGATGTCATAATACACTGCAGCTTCCTATTCCAGCAGAGTAATGCACATTTGGATCTTCAATATTGAATTTTTTAGCTGCTGCCCAAAGCAGAATGCTAACAGCACCACGTTTATGCAAGCAAGGGCCCAAACTCTCCCAAGTCCTGTATATCATTCGATTCAGAGATCCATGTAGCAGCTTTTTCGAACTAAGCTGGCTCTCATGATGTCTCAGTGTACCTCCACTGACTTAAA